TCAGCGGAAAATTGAGTTGCTCTATTGATTCTGGATCCGTTCCGTCGTCGGCACCACTCCGTGATGTTCACAAATTATCAGTCTCGCGAGGCATACAGACAGGCTCAATTTCGCCCCTACTTGATCCTGCACACATTCCCAATTCAGCCCTCTCTCGTCCGTGATAGACAAGCAATGACAAGGCGGATCACAAATGCTTGCTGTTGGACACTAAATTGTCTGCCTAACAAGTGTATACGTAACGCCCATCGAAGCCAAGATCAGTGGGTCTCCACACCGTAGACCATGGTCCAATTCTAGAATCAGAATTGAGGAAGACAACTCACTTGATTGGGCTCTCTAACTCTTCATAGTATGGCTCGTTTCATGAACAACGATGCTGAATGGATAGCCTTACATAGCTTTAGGCCCCATCTACCTGCTGTCCTTTGATTCTTAAGCCAGGTCTTCCCCTACGTTTGCTGTCTTTCTCTTGCATTGCATCTTCTGCACAACAAACAATCAGAATCTTAAGAAAAGACCAAATTCACAATGTTTGGCGACAGTATTTTCAGCTGGTTCAAGTCCTCCAAACAGGAATCGGCCCCTGAGGCCACCTGGGACCCCAACACTGTTACGATGACCCAGCCTCAGAGCCCTGCCGGTCCTACCACTGAGGGTGTCGTTACCGGTCAACCTGTACGGTGTCATCCTGATCCTAAGCTTTCTTTGTTCATTGACGCTAACATGAACAAACTAGATGCCCAACAACAACATGGATGTGAGCCTTCGTGGTGGTGGTCCTCCCCCCGGACCTGGCGGTGACGAGTAAGTAACCACTACTCGAACCCTTAAATACAATACATTCGTTAGATTGGACCTAACCATACGTCTTGAATAGTTGCTGCTGCTGTCTCGACTGCTTCTGCTGCTGCGGTGACTGCTGTGGTCCCGACGGACCCCCTGGTGGCCCTGGCGGTCCGGGAGGTCCTGGTGGTCCTGGTGGCCCCGGTGGTTGGTAAAGAATACCAACGTCTACGATCATATTTCTTTTCCTTCCTATCGTTTTACTCGCCACGTTCGTACTTGATACCACTATACTGAATGTGAAGTTGTGGCGCAATGGATAAGCGGGAGCTTGTTTGCCGGACGGGGGTCTTGTCAATGGCAGATGAGCTCTGTGTCATGGTTGCTTTATATGATACTATGTTGTTATTGGTTATGTTATATGCAAGACTCTCGAATTACTCGATCACCTATCACTTGGGAATACTTCAACGCCCTTGCCGCTTGGGGCGTACTTTAATACTATAAAGATTGTATATTAGTCCAAAAGTGTCTACAAGACGGCATAATGCAATATTACCTGATCTAATTGGCTGTATAACCTTTGTATAAATATCATAAGGCTTGCATAGGATATGTATTCCGCAGCACTCAATGCACGAATACATATGGAACTGCTATGAACACAGTGGAATTATATTCCTGCCTATGCCAAGTAGTTGAGCTATGTGAGCCTTACGTGCATTTCGTCAAGATCAGGTATCCTGCATAGCTGACTGGTAGCACAAGACCGAGTATGGACTGCATAGAAAGACTCACTGTTATCTATATGAGACGCAATATGTTGGATTCCGTGGTACATGATCGACTTAATTCGGGTATCTAAGTGGGTTATAGTTATCCAGTTAAAAGCTATCGTGTTCTACCAAAGTAGTCAGAACCCGCGGGACAATAGATAAGAACTAGATTCTGGTTGACATAGTTAATCTGGAATTCTCGAGCGCTTGAGAGCGCCTAACAAATGCATTTCCTGATTGACTTCCGTAAATGATGTCCTTGCAGTCAAATGAAACCATAATACCCTGGTTAACAACAACATAAGGTCCACGATAACAGTAAGGTACATCAAACGCGTAATTGAAATCTACCAATAAAAGAAGATCATTTACTAGCCATCCAACAGTGGTACTACTACTTGGCAACCGCTGCTTCATTCCGCGGGCGTTTATCAAGACATCGGATATCATAGGTGGCTGGCTAGCTGCTAACCCTTGCCGCCTATCAAGCATAAAGCATTCCAATCATGTCACGCCCAACCCAAGTAATGATCATCTTGCACTCTCAACCAACCAGCATCCAATGATGTATAAAATTCTGTTCAGGATATCTCACCGCAAGAAGCAAGAGCAAATAATGATCACTAATGGAAGGTTCTCCGGGAGAATAATAAATAGCGACGAGGGAGGGCCATGATAAGAGGTTGCAGAGGATTTGACCGGGTGCACAGCAGCCTACATAGTGGAATCTTACTAGTATTTCGCAAATCATGCATTTCTTCAGCTTCCTCGTTGCAGCTACGTTAGCCTCATTGGCCATCGCACACCCAGGCCCTCATAGAAAAGCCACGAGAGCCGAAATTTCGCGTCGACAGGAGCTGTCTTCTCGTTGCGCTCACCATGCCGGAGAATACAACGCAAAGAGATGGAAGAGGAGCTTGGAAAAGCGGCAGAATATTACGACTATCGAAGCTACAACGGAAGCACCTTACTATAAGACGATTCAGAATGAAACCTGCGTGCTCACGCCCGACGTGACATCCGGACCTTATTGGTGGACAGAGTCTCAGACACTTCGGCAGGATATTAGGGAAGATCAACCAGGCGTGCCGCTGTCGCTTGATATTGGGGTGATGGATATGGCGACATGTGGACCACTGGAAGGGGTGCTGGTGGACGTTTGGCATTGCAATGCTACGGGCAAATATTCAAGTTTTACTGGGCTGCGAAATGACATCCCCAAATCTGAAACGCTACAAGACCTTAACATGACCTGGTTTGAGCCCGGACAGTCGGATATTCATACGGATAATCAGACTTGGTTGCGGGGCATGTGGCCGACGGATAGTAATGGGATGGTGGAGATGAAGACTATTTTCCCAGGTCAGTTGTACAACAATTTTCTGGGAATTTATTGACATGCTGATATGAGGGTTTGAACTTGCAGGCTTTTACTTCGGAAGATCAATCCACATTCATATTCAAGTGCATACCGACTGGGTGCTGAGAGATAACGGCACCCTTGCGAGTGGGAATACCGTGAGCACGGGGCAGGTTTTCTTCGATGAAGAACTTGAGCAGGAGATTATGGCGTTGGAGCCGTATTCTTCTGTGACAGGGATTCAGCGACTCGTTAATGGTCTCGATGACACGTTCCACAATGAAAATACCGATGGGTATAATGCGATTGTGTCGGTGGTTCCCATGGATGGGGTTGATGTGAGGAATGGGATGATCGGGTATATTACTGTTGGTGTGGATACAGAAGCTGTTGACCCTGAATTCCCGGTTCGATAAACTTGGGTCAGCTGGAACAGCTCCAGGCTGGATTGATAAAAGTGTGATGGCCATGTTCTTGATGAAATTACCCGATATGATAATGTTGGATAGAATTATATGAAACGCCTAGCTTGAATGATAGACAAAGCTCGCTTTTACTTGAGTATGCGAGTCATAAAACCAATCAGTGATCAACGTACTATTGCCATTAGCTCCAGGACAGGGATTGATTTAGCTTCTTCCAGAAGGATCTGTGAAGCTCCACAGTTGGGCCCTCTTGTGCTTCGAACTACATCAGAATGTCATATGGGTTTCTATGTTATTATGTTGATAACTGGGTCAGGTATCCATGTTTTGTGCCTAAAAATGATGAGCCAGCATGCTACCTCCAGTATTGCTATTCTCGGCTGAAACGAGCCTGTATCTCAGCAGCAGGAGTGATATTCACTGTGTCATAACAGTATTCAGAGACTCAAGGTAGACCCTGTAAGGCTGCATTTGACGGATCCTTGAACTGTAGCTAAAAACATTAGTTGGAAAAAATCTATGGGCCAAGTCAATCGTCCATCGAGGCATTTAACCGATTGCACTGTACAACATGTCGGTGTATATGTTTTATGAACCTGTTCCACATGCATTTGGTTCACATATATTGCCATCACTCTCGACCAGACTTCAATGTAGCCATACCCTCAGCAGCAGCATTATACCCGCAATATAACCGTAACTCCGAGGGCTGGACGGCCTTGCATAACAGGGATAAAAAAGAAGAGATGGTGGATACGACTCCTGTAATGCTCCGCCACTGGGTGGATGGATCGAGTCCCGCCCACCGGAGAATTGCCACTCCGGGTAATTAAGTGGGTTGAAGTGTGCTCTTCTGGGTCAACAATCCGAAACGAGGTGGAAGCCGTGACTTTCCGATGAATGATTGGGGACAACGAAGTAGCTAGAGGGATTATGTCTGGGGTGAAGCGGATGGGGGTCTAAGAATAGACCGATCAAATAACCTTGTCTGGATGATTTAACCGAGTAGATGTTGTAGATGTTACCGGTAGTATCTACCTCCTGGCAGGATCGGATCGGAGAATGACTGCGATTGTAACATGTAGAAGCATAATGGCAGGGATGGCTGTATGGTGTATATTGAAGGTAACGATCATCGTCTGATGTGTTTCTTCTCTAACAACCCTCTCAATATTGTTCCATCACTGCCAGTTACTCCTGTTGCCCTATACACCCGGCTTTGCACTTGGGGGAACAGAACCGACGCCCCGATAAGACGGAGATAAGAGCCCCCACCGGTCGGCTTCCACAGAAAGCATAAGTTTTGACTTGAGCAACCTATCCATTGCAAGGAAGACTGCCCAGAAAGTTCTCTAGGCAAGCCACTGTTTCTCCAAAGCTTACCTGTGCACCAAGCTCGTATTTATAAGCACACTATCCAGGGTAGCAAGTGCGACATCCTGGCTTACGGATGGTCTTTTGGAATGCGACCGCCGGGCAGTCTGACCCAATGGGGGAGAATCCCATAAATCATGCCCCAGACCGAACCCCGCGCTCTGAGGGGCCACCGGGTAAATGCCCTTCTTAGCTTCTATCCACTTTCTAACCCATCAGTAAGCCCATGATGGACCCGTCGCGTTACTGCTATTTGGCAATGCTCCTATCGGTGGCGAAGGAACCAGCTACTTGCAGCCTCTCACATTGAAGAAAAGATCATCCCTGAGCTTTTTTTTTTTCTCCTTTCTTCCCCTTCCTTCAATGATGGAGGGGTAGACCGCTGTTACAAAGTACTTAAGCCCGGTAGATCCTCTTTCCGCTTGCTTTCCCATCCTGCTCATCCCTTGCGTTCACCTCTTGCGACTTTTTCCCTCCTCCCCTTAATATCTCCCCTTCATTAGATTAGGTCATCATGGCTACCGCAACTGTTCTCGAGAAGGCGAACATTGGCGTGTTCACAAACACCAAGCATGACTTGTGGGTCGCTGACGCGAAACCCACGCTCGAGGAGGTCAAGAACGGCCAAGGATTGCAGCCTGGTGAGGTTACAATCGAGGTTCGCAGCACCGGAATCTGCGGGTATGTCTTCCGTCCCTCTCGCGACTGGCTTCGTATTCCCTGGCTAAACATTGTTCATCAACATCCAGGTCCGACGTGCACTTCTGGCACGCAGGCTGCATTGGGCCTATGATCGTCACAGGAGACCACATCCTGGGTCACGAGTCCGCGGGACAAGTCGTGGCTGTTGCGCCCGATGTCACCTCCCTCAAGCCTGGTGACCGTGTCGCTGTCGAGCCTAACATCATTTGCAACGCTTGTGAACCCTGCTTGACTGGTCGCTACAACGGTTGTGAAAATGTTCAGTTCCTCTCCACCCCTCCCGTCGACGGACTGCTGCGTCGCTATGTCAACCACCCCGCTATTTGGTGCCACAAGATTGGTGATATGAGTTATGAAGATGGTGCGCTCTTGGAACCTCTGAGTGTTTCTCTGGCAGGTATTGAGCGTAGTGGCCTTCGCTTGGGTGACCCCTGCCTAGTCACTGGTGCTGGGCCCATTGGTCTCATCACCTTGTTGAGTGCTCGTGCGGCTGGAGCCAGCCCCATCGTTATCACCGACATTGATGAGGGTCGGTTGGAATTTGCCAAGTCGCTGGTCCCTGACGTTCGCACCTACAAGGTGCAGATTGGCCTCTCTGCTGAGCAGAATGCCGAAGGTATCATCAACGTCTTCAACGATGGACAAGGCTCGGGCCCCGGCGCTTTGAGGCCTCGCATTGCGATGGAGTGCACTGGTGTGGAGAGCAGTGTGGCTTCGGCCATCTGGAGTGTCAAGTTCGGCGGCAAGGTCTTCGTCATTGGTGTCGGAAAGAACGAGATGACCGTTCCTTTTATGCGTCTCAGTACTTGGGAGATTGACCTCCAGTACCAGTACCGGTACTGCAACACCTGGCCTCGCGCGATCCGTTTAGTGAGGAACGGTGTTATCGACTTGAAGAAGCTTGTGACGCACCGCTTCCTCTTGGAGGATGCGATCAAGGCCTTCGAGACGGCTGCCAACCCCAAGACAGGTGCCATCAAGGTTCAAATCATGAGCTCCGAAGACGATGTTAAGGCTGCTTCCGCTGGTCAGAAGATCTAAACAGTCGCACACTTGAGAACATACTTCAACTGCACATTTTTGGTGGCTGGTCACCTCGGATACCTTTCGCATTCACGACACATATTTTTGATGACACTTGATGGATGGTTTACCCCATGTAACGTTTCCCTTTTTCGATGTTGTTAGAGATCCCTGCTGGCTGGAGGCATAGAGATGCACGTAGAATTCTATTCCTTCATGTTCAACTCTCACGGCATCTGCATTTGACATGTCTTGCAGGTAGAGTAGCTGTCTCCTCGCTTTGACAGGCGTCCGCACAGGATGAAGCGGGAGAGTAACCCAGGACTGTAGGTTGACTGAACACTGTCTTACATTCATTTGCGCACTCCCCAGGTCCTCACGCTTCTGCCAGGGTACCCGACATGCTGGATGGGTGAGCTGCCCCTCGAGTGTCACAATAGTACTATGTGCTCAATATCTTATGCCACTGCCACCTCAACTGTAAAGGCTTGCAGCACTTACATTAGCGACCGCCTCTTGACAGGTCAGAGCCACCTATCAGCTACAACTACGTATCAGGCCACCGAATCCGTTGCATCCGACGCTTTGACTGACTCTTGGTGGGATTTAGAGTAAGCAGAAATATTCACTTTTGCCCATGTTCTTTGAACGATATCTGATCCTGATCCTTTGAATGTCTCAGTTTGTTTGTTTGCGGGGCGTCAAGCGGGGCACGTGGTGGGGGAGAATGAGGAGAGCCACCATCACCGTCACTCCCTCGGTTCCATCTCTCATACTACTATTCCCTGCCAATGCTTACCTGCAGGAAATAAGGCCCACCATCCAGAACATTACCGAGTGATATACCGATCAGACGTGTCCAAAGTCTAGGCTGCTGCACGAGATTCAATGGACGAGAATCGGTGTAAGTGACCCGAAATTATTCAGTCCCTGCATCAGCCCCAAGCCGATAGCGGCGAAGATCCCCGATATTTGACCGAGATGGGACGACCATAGACTCACATTGTCTTCTTTAGGCAATCGTCTCCACGTTGCTCGGCTCTTCTCCCCTATGAACATTGCTTTTTCTCATCGCACTGCTCGGCTCATTCCGCCTCTTTGTCAGTTACATTCCTTGGCTTCGCTGATTGAATCTGCGGGGTCCGGTCATACCGCGCAACGCCACATTATGCACTTCGGCCAACACGCCATGCATTCAATGTCATCAGTCCGTGCCCAAACACATATAAGCCGCTGTGACCTCCCGATTTGGATGCGAACTCAAGGCTTGTTGTAGTCCGGGGTAATCCTAGAGCCAACATCACAATGTTGGGGTCTTTGCTTTTTCTCTTACCCCTTGTGGGCGCTGCTGTCATTGGTCCCAGGGCAGGCAGTCAGAGTTGCTCTGGGTATAAGGCGTCCAATGTGCAAAAGTCTGCTAGGTCTTTGACTGCGGATCTGACTCTAGCTGGTGCGCCCTGTCATAGCTATGGCAAGGATTTGGAGGACCTTAAGTTGCTTGTGGAGTATCAGACCGGTGAGTGTTTTTCGTGAATCAAGGGTGTCTGTCCTAACTAACAGATTGCTCAGATGAACGGCTACATGTTATGATCTATGATGCCGATGAAGAAGTCTATCAAGTTCCTGAATCGGTCCTTCCTCGCGTGGGCAGTGACAAGGACCCTGAGGACAGTGTTTTGGAATTCGACTATGTGGAAGAACCATTTTCGTTTACTATCTCCAAAGGGGATGAGGTCCTGTTCGACTCTTCGGCATCCACCCTGATTTTTCAGTCGCAATATGTCAGGCTTCGCACCTGGCTGCCCGATGACCCGTATGTGTATGGTCTCGGAGAGCACTCTGACCCTTTGCGTTTGCCAACGTACAACTACACGCGGACCTTGTGGAACCGCGACGCGTATGGCACTCCGAACAACACCAACTTGTACGGCAGTCATCCTGTGTACTATGATCACCGTGGAAAGTCCGGAACTCATGGAGTCTTCCTGCTGAACTCTAATGGTATGGACATCAAGATCAATCAGACCACAGATGGGAAGCAGTACTTGGAATACAACCTTCTCGGTGGTGTTTTGGACTTTTACTTCTTCTATGGAGAAGATCCTAAGCAAGCGAGCATGGAGTACTCGAAGATTGTCGGTCTCCCGGCAATGCAAAGTTACTGGACTTTTGGTGTACGCTTCTCTCTTCCTGATTCTATCGTCCGAATTGTATGCTGACTCTTCAGTTCCACCAATGCCGTTATGGATACCGCGACGTGTATGAACTCGCCGAAGTGGTCTACAACTACAGCCAGGCAAAGATCCCTCTGGAGACGATGTGGACAGATATCGACTACATGGACAAGAGGAGGGTATTCACCCTTGATCCTCAAAGGTTCCCGCTGGAAAAGATGCGGGAGCTGGTAACCTACCTCCACAATCACGATCAGCATTACATTGTCATGGTCGATCCGGCTGTGAGCGTGAGCAGTGAGTAACTGGATCATACCCAACTATTCTTGCAGCTTCCGGCTAACATGTGCTTTCTAGATAACTCGGCGTATCTCACCGGTGTAAGAGACAATGTTTTCCTTCACAATCAGAACGGTAGTCTGTATGAGGGTAAGTATGCACATCTTCCATACCTAGCAGCATCAACTAAGCTCTACAGGTGCTGTTTGGCCTGGTGTGACGGTCTTCCCCGACTGGTTCAATGAGGATACTCAGGATTACTGGACTGCGCAATTCCAGCAGTTCTTCGATCCCAAGTCAGGAGTCGATATCGACGCCCTGTGGATTGACATGAATGAAGCATCCAACTTTTGCCCGTATCCTTGTCTTGACCCGGCTGCATTTGCAATCTCCGACGACCTCCCACCAGCAGCGCCGCCTGTGCGGCCAAGCAGCCCGATTCCACTACCTGGGTTCCCGGCGGACTTCCAACCTTCGTCCAAGCGATCTGTTAAGAGAGCGCAAGGTGATAAAGGGAAGAAGGTTGGGTTGCCCAACCGCAACCTCACTGACCCGCCCTACACAATCCGGAATGCCGCAGGCGTACTGAGCATGAGCACTATCGAGACCGATCTCATCCATGCAGGCGAGGGGTATGCCGAGTATGATACGCACAACCTTTACGGAACAAGTAAGTATTCAAATATTTGTATTTATGATTCGCCATTGACAGGTTTAGTGATGAGCTCTGCTTCCCGCACGGCGATGCAGGCTCGCCGTCCCGATGTGAGACCTTTGGTCATCACTCGCAGTACGTTTGCGGGTGCTGGAGCACACGTAGGACACTGGTAAGTTTACCAATACTTCTAGCTGGCGCATCGCTGATTTGTACAGGTTGGGCGATAACCTTAGTGACTGGGTTCACTACCGGATCTCCATCGCGCAGATCCTCTCTTTCGCATCGATGTTCCAGATCCCAATGGTTGGAGCTGACGTGTGTGGGTTTGGTAGCAACACGACGGAGGAGCTGTGTGGCCGATGGGCGTCACTTGGTGCCTTCTATACGTTCTACCGTAATCACAATGAGCTAGGCGATATACCGCAAGAGTTCTACCGCTGGCCCACGGTTGCCGAGTCCGCTCGCAAGGCCATTGACATCCGGTACAGGCTTCTCGATTATATCTACACTGCTCTTCACCGGCAAAGCCAGACTGGCGAGCCATTCTTGCAGCCTCAATTCTACCTGTACCCTGAGGATTCGAACACCTTTGCGAACGACCGACAGTTCTTCTACGGTGACGCCCTTCTAGTCAGCCCTGTCCTGGATGAGGGATCCACCTCAGTCGACGCATACTTCCCCGACGACATCTTCTACGACTGGTACACAGGAGCAGTGGTGCGCGGGCACGGAGAAAACATCACGCTCAGCAACATCAACATCACTCACATCCCTCTGCACATTCGCGGTGGAAACATCATCCCTGTCAGGACGTCCAGCGGCATGACGACCACTGAAGTTCGCAAGCAGGGGTTCGAACTGATCATCGCGCCAGACTTGGATGGCACTGCCTCGGGCAGTCTGTATTTGGATGATGGGGACTCTTTGAACCCGTCATCTGTGACAGAGCTCGAGTTCACGTACAGCAACGGGGAGTTGCACGTTAAGGGTACTTTCGGACAGAAGGCCGTTCCCAAGGTGGAGAAATGTACCTTGCTGGGGAAGTCAGCGCGGACGTTCAAGGGCTTTGCACTTGATGCTCCTGTGAACCTTAAACTGAAGTAGTCAACACGTTGGATTGGAGTTGTGATGAGAGGGGGCAAAAAGTAGTTAATTAGTGTCTCAAACAGATCGCTTACATCGTGCCCTTACAGCTAATCCAGATGATTGACATCTCTCAATAAGCATAAACTCTGTTGCAGCATACATAAGCACATAGCCACTAGCCAGGGACGGGACAGGAGAGGAAAAGCCAGTGGCAGGGGATCAAGGGATAAGGGATACTACTTCCCACCAAGGCAGTGAACATTCAAGTCGCGCCACCACAAAGATACTGTCCAATCCTCTGCAGAGGAAGAAATCGCCGCATAATCAACAACAAGCCATCAATCAAGCCATCAAATCAAAGTTCCATTCACACCAATTTCAACCTCACCCACCTCAAATCAATCTGCTACATAACACAATGACAAAGTACAAACATACATACCATGTGTAAACCAGCCGCCATGCCTCGAACCCGCAACGCAAGGGATCAAACAAGGACAGGACACGCGTCTACATACTATGCACATTGCACGCACCTTGCACATCCATCCCATCTATCCCTACTACACGAGACAATCCTTATTTGACAATCCTTATTTCCGGGTATTCATTTCAAATAAATACCCTACCGGATCACCTCACTGACAAGCAGAATTCCGCCATCCATTCATCAATTCCTCCATCTTTCTCTCATCTTATTGGGAAAAGACAGTCAGAAATGCATCTCAAATCCATCCTCTTCACACTCGCCGCATCGACAACCCTCGTCGCCGCCGGCAGCGACTACTATTGTCTCATGGCGCAGGACGGCACCGGCATGATCCAGGACCCGTACTGCTGTGATAGTTTCTCTCCTACGCCGGGAGATTCGATTGCTCAGCAGGGGGAGAATTGTATGTTCAGATGCAGCATAGCTTGTGATACAGTGGGTGGGTGCTGATAATTGTGTGTTTTTGTTGCAGGCCAGGCGATGGACGGATATGAGTGGGTGGATCAGTGTCCTCAGGGTGGGACTGTCAAGTGTTGTTATACTATTGTAAGTTGCTACCAATACTTAGGATCAAATGGGAGGGGTAAATGCTAATGATGATGGTGATGAATGTAGGGTCCCGAGTTCATCTGCACGGCAGAAGCAGAGCAGAACACGGATGATGATTGAATCAACTACTATTACTACTACTACTACTACTTACTGTAGATCATTGGAAAGAAAATGGTGGAAACTGAATACTGTTCAAAACATGACCCATATACAACAAAATAAAATATCCAATTATTGTACACTACCACTACACCTTAATCATCTCCCAAAAGAAGAAAGGTAATTAAACACTAACCATCCTAACAAACCTCTCCCCCAACTCCTCCGCCGCCAACGGATTCCCCCCGGTCAACAACTCCCTACAAAGCGTCGTCTTGCCCAACTTCTCCCTTCCCCCCTCAACCATCACAGCCCCCGCATCCCTCAATTGACTCTCCACCTTATCAATCTCCCCCCTCAACAACGTCTCCATAACCTTCTCCTCCGCATCACTCCAACACGTAATCTCATAACCCCTATACACAAACTCCCCATCACCAACCTTCCTCGTACTCAACAACGCCAACGGACCATGACAAATCGCCGCCGTGGGCTTATTCTCCTGATGAAAATACCGTAATATCCGTCCTAACTCCTCATCCCCACCGAGATCCACCAGCGGCGCATGGCCCCCGGGGATGAACACCGCCGCGAAGGTCTTCAGTTCCTCGTCGGAGATGCTAGCGAAGGGGCGGGGTGATGAGAAGCCGTTTTCGCGTCGCATGCGCGCGATGAGGTCTTGTTCTCGCTGGCGCTCGTAGAAGTTGCCTGCGAAGGTGAGGAGGGATTCGCTGTTCGGGTCGGGCTGCGGGGTGAGGCCCTTGGGCGAGGCGAAGGTTATTTCGTGGCCGGCCGAGAGGAGTTTGGAGAGTGGTTTGGCGAGTTCCGGGAGGAAGAAGCCGGTGGGTTGTTCTTGGGTGCCGGTGGAGGTGTTGTGCAGGGGGAAGGAGGTCGCGTCGCTGAGGATTATGAGGACTTTTTTGGGGGGCATTTTGGTTATTTCCTTTGGTAGTGTGGTGTGGTTGGTAATTGGGGTTGGTGTGAAGTTTCAGCTGTGGTGGTTGTGTTGGTGTTTATAGATGGTGGTTGTGGTGGTGGTGACATCCCGATGACGTAGAGAGTGGAACAGGTTGTTGGGTTGATGTGTTTGCTTTGATTTCGTTGTTCATTATGATTTAATTGATAGTGAAGTAATCTGGATCTTAAATAGAATTAGTATGAGAGGGTAGTAGTTGAGTAGTGTCAAATTACGAAAATGTATGCATTAGACCGTGGAATAGTGGTATGCTTCCGGTTTGTATACCTCGGATGCCAATGATACATCGATCAATAGCATCTCCATTAGACAGCTACTACCTCAATGATCTGATCGATAACTTCTGTTAATAGTCGCTTTCCACTTGGCAATAAGGATGGATAATTCAATAAGCATTGTGTGAGATTACATCAGACACATGTGACTTATTTCAATCTACCATGCTCCTATCTCTCTACAATATTGCAATCTGCATGAATACTCCACAACAACAATCAGGTAATGAAATTACCCATTAAGAACGGAAGAAACACCACGCACCCCCTACCAACCTACAGTACTCCACTTTAAGGGTCCAATATCCCCTAAGCTTACCAAGTCACGAGAAACACCTACCTACAGCCCGCAGCTCGTATTCTCCTCTCACACAAAACCCAATGGCTTACAGGCAAGCAAACCGTACACCTCACACACACACAGCATGCATCCTGCATCCATGAATCCTCCCATGCAAGTGCACAGACCCTGCACGAGTCATACAGCACTACCCTAGTCAGTGACCGAGTCAGCCGCTACATACATATCCACCTTGTAGTCTATAATACCCCAGATACAAACCATCCCTAATTACTAGTAGTAGTCTACTACAACAGCACATCGTATCAATCCATCGCTAATAATTCCCCCTCCAAGAATAGATGATAGATCCAGACTCATACCCCAAGATTCTAGAACCTCCCGAACGGCCTGCATGTGGATCCAACCCAGATTCATCATCCCGGGGGAAAACAAGAAGTTGAACCCTTCTTCTCGCTTCCTTATGTAAACTAACTAGGGCTCGGTACCCGCGGATGAACCTCGCTCGCTCGCTCGCCTATTATCGGATCTGATAAGAACAGCCAAGAAGTCAAATCAAGGTAGATGGGTAATAAGGGTGGAAAAGGAAAAAATTTGCACTTTTCCGAGGAAAAGTATAACTCCCCCGTCAAACGAACCATACTTGGTAGTTATCAACCTGGGTTAGCTAGCTACGTAGTTCGTACAGGTATGTGTTGGTGTTTGTTGGCGTGCATTTCGGATTCTGTCCGAGGCTAATGTACTATCCGTGCACCATTGGGATTATTCCTGAACTCCGGGCCTTTTCCTTCCCCGGGTACTTTTTATGGGGGAGGATGTTATGGTTTTCTATCATATTTCTCCAGTAGGTCTTACATTATGGCCTCTATAATCTGGGGATATTATATATCTAAAGGAAAAAGTGCTCCTGACTCGCTTTCCGTGCACTTTCCCGGTCTCCACTGTTGCCGACGTCTCGGCAAATTCTACCGTAAATCCGATTACATGAGGCACTCGAGTTATACACCTCGGAACCTGGCCGAATTGGACAGCTCACTCGTTTCACGATCTGCAGTGCCGCTTCCTGATGGCTGGAAAATTCTGAATGACATTTCTTGGTATGGTATGCTATGCGATGTCGTAACTCGTGATAGGGGGGCGAATAGAGGCTGGCTGGACGCTATCAAATCAGAAAATGAACTACACCCCCCTCAACATTTCTTCCGCGTTCTCTCGAAACACCCGCTCCGCCAATCCAGGCTCCTTCGCACATATCCGTAGACATGTCTCGGTGAAGGGTTCGATGTCCACGCCGGAGAACCGCGTGTGCGGCCAGTCGGTGGCGTATATCACACGGTCCGGAGCGGCTTCAAGGAACTCCTGGGCCATCGCTTCCAGGTCCCGATACTCCTCGTCTTTGCTGAGACGGTACGGAGCAGAGATCTTCACGTAGGTCTCTCCGCCTCGCAGAAGCGAGATTAACGAGGAAAATCCCGGGAGCGTATAGGGGTTAAACGATTCCCCGTGGTGTTCAACTGCGGCCAGATCCGGCCCTCCAAAATGGTCAATACACAGCTTGACTCCGAGCTGTGGGACAACATTCTCCAGCAGGGGAACCATATCCAACGATACGTAGACTTGTATAGTCCACCCAAAGGGCCGTACTATTTGCGCATGTTGCAGCAGCGTCTCGGTCAGCTCATGCTCGCTGAGCACCTTGCCCACTGATTTGAGATTCACCCGCACGCCGCGTACTCCCAGCGAATGCCATTCCTCCAGGGTCTCGGTGTCTATGTTGGTCGGATCAATCACCACGACTCCTCGCCCGCGAGAAGGTCCGAGGGTTTTGAGCGCTTCAAGTAGACAAGAGTTGTCGGTTCCGTAGATGGATGGTTGAACCAGTACAATTTTCTCGATGCCAAGGGTAGATTCGAAACTCATCGCATCGTCAACGGTATGTTCGGGGGGCTGATAGACTGCATTCGCGGAAACTGGAAAGCGCTCTGGTTCCACAACGTGCATATGTGTATCCCACGTCCCTCGGGGAATTCGATACTTCAGTGGGATAGGCTGGAGGGTTGCCGTTCCCTCCTTGCATAGTTGTCGCTCCTCCTTCAGATGTGTAGTGCTGAACAGGGCCCTCGGAGATTCAAGCAGGCCAGTCCTGGGCTGGAACGTGGTAAGCATTGTGGGCATGGAGGATGAGAGCATGGTCAAGACGTCATCAAGGGCGAGGTGAAGAGGTTGGGTATCGGTAGGGGTGATAGCAGGAGGATAGCAGTAGGTGTAGATGTCCAACACAAGTGTGACAAACTCACAAGACAGCTGAGCCGGAGTGTTCCCACAGCTACTCTTAAGGAACATTTCTGCAACGATATCATGCTCTCTATTAGGCTAGGTGCAAAGCCAAGGACGACCCGTCTAGTCAAAACTGTGGATAAAGGCATTACGGCAGCTCATCGGCTTCCCGATGGTGTTACCGGACGGATGCCAGTGAACGTGAGGAATGAAACAGTCCCTGACCCACCAGTCACCAGCGAAAGGCGGGATGGTGTCGCTGAAGTACTACGAAAACCGGTATGATGAGGTCGGAATGTGGCCGCAAGGGAGCCACTCCACGTGAGCGACATTGGATATGTCCACTTGCTTTTCGCCTGATCGGCAACCAATGACAACTGAAAACGTTTGACTACTTGAACCGAGCAAGATCGGACGTGTATCTAAGCGAACTGCAGAGCCACGGGGAGCGGAGTTGTTCACAGGCAACGGTAATGGCCCGAGTGGATGCAGGCGGAACGACCCGCCCGATCTGACATGCAGGCGAAGTGTGCACGCATGGTGCTATTAAAGAATAAAAGAATTATAGTTAAGTTAGATCTAGATATAGATGTCACTAGATGAAGTCAGCATCGGAATCGTAGTTAACTACATAGTTTAATATCAGAAACGGGAAATAGGTGCATACCAAGAATAAATGGCGTTCTATTCCAGAACGGTGTCTAGTTGATGCATTAGCGTGTGTACGAAGAAAAAAAAGGAGGAGAGAGAGAGAGAAAAGAGAATTACGGAAGTTGACCGAGAGGCGAGTCACGCCCCTCTGGATCCCGTGCTTCCCATCCCCCCCCCCCCCCCCCTCTTCGCTCCTTCCAGTTTACCCCCTCTCGGCCCTCCTCCTTCCGAGTGGATATTCTCTCCTTTCCGAGTTTTGTTGCTCGCCTCGCTTGTTCTCCGTCCACTCGTCTGGCCTGACTCGTATCGTGTGGCTTGCCTCCTAATCATTCTCCCCCCGGCCCCTTCGGATACGTACCCAACAAGGCAGCAATCGGTTCAAACTGGAGCTTCCCCAGATTCACTCCATAGTGCTTAATATACATCTATTATCTCGTCGGCTAATATCCCCCAAAATAGCTGATTCCAGCTCCATCGCGGTTCCTCCCGCTTCGCCATCATGGGATGGAAGGCGATTGACTGGTCTCGGTGGACCACCAATCCCTATTATGCCTTAGTGATCTTTATTATAGCCTGTGGCAGCATTCCTAAAGGTAACGTCATCTTCACGCTGTGGTGTTTCATACCAGAGATCGCATTCTGACTGGTGGGATGGGACTGCAGGTTACGATGAGGGTGGCTACAGTGCCAGCGTCAAGCTCGAGTCGTTCATGGTCGACTTCAACATCCTGTCCTCTAACTGGACTAACGATGCCACTGGCCTGGCCAACCGCAAGGCGAACATAACCTCCTTCAATGTGCTGGGTGCTGCATTTGGTGCGCTGTTCTCGCTGGACCTGAACGATCGCTTGGGTCGAGTACGGACATGGCAACTGTCTGTTCTGGTCTGGGGATCGGGCCTTTTCATCCAAGTCTTCTCCTCTGGCATCTATGGTCTATTACTGTTTGCTAGAATTTGGAGTGGTCTGGGCGCCGGTGCCTTAACAGTGACTACGCCCTTGTACCTGTCAGAGATCGGTAAATAATCTCGGAGATTAATGTACATGGACTGTAAAAGTGCTAATATCGACGATAGCGCCGGCAAGGACTAGAGGCTTGGTAGTCAGCGTTTATATGGTGGTCTTGCTCACCATCCTCACTGTGGGTAAGCTAACGCTCTCGTTAACCGCTAGTTTCACATGTGGCGTTATCTGACATGTCACCGACAGGGTTCTTTGTCAACTATGGGGCTGACCTGCATATGGCCCCTACCCGGGAACAATATCGCCTGGTTCAGTCGATTCCACTAATCCCTACGGGCCTAGCCTTCTTTGCTTCCTTCATTGTACCTGAGACACCTCGTTATCTGGTGTCCAAGCAGCGGCCCGAGGAGGCGCGAGCTGTACTAGCTCGGTTCCGTGGGAAAGACATTTCCGATCCCGAGGTTGATGAAGAATTTAGTACAATCGAAGCTCAAGTGCGCGCCAAGGCAGCAGACTTGGCGTCTGTCAGTCACTGGCAAGCTTTCAAGGAGTCCCAGTTAAACCCTAATTATCGGCAGCGGTTCTGGCTCCTCATGACCATGCAAACCATCGCCCAGTGGACCGGAGGAAACGGTATCACTTACTACATCTCTAATATCTTCCAGTATGCTGGCATCACTGGAAACGCCGAATCTCTCATCTCCTCAGGTGCATATGGCATTGTCAAGGTCGTCTTCACACTGGCGTTTACTTGGGTGTTCATTGATCTCCTGGGCCGACGTCGCTGCGCGTTGACCGGACTTAGTCTCCAGCTGGCTGCTCACATCTACATGGGCGCCTACATGGGTCTGCAACCGGGCGCCGCTAAAAACGAGAACGCTTCCAATGCCGCCATTGCATCCGTCTTCGTCTACGCCGTTGGCTGGTCCATCGGTCTCTGCACCATCCCGTACCTGTATGGTACAGAAATCTTCCCCACTCGCATCCGCAACGTGAGCTACGCTCTCAGCATGACTTTGCATTGGTTCTTCCAATTCGCTGTCGTTCGGGTCACACCCAACATGTTCGTTTCCCTCAACGTCTGGGGTGCGTACCTATTCTGGGCCATCATCTGCTTTCTGGGCATCATTATCCTCGGTATTTGGATGCCCGAGACCAAAGGTGTTCCCATGGAGCGCATGGGCGATCTCTTCGATTGCCCTTGGTACCTTCGCTGGCGTGCGAAGCCGAAGGATGTCGCGTCGTCTTCGGCCTCCACTGCCGGTGAGGGCAGTGTCGATGCCAAGCAAGTGGACAGCAAAAGTGTGCCTCTGTAGACATTTCATGCACATTACATCTCAAGAACATTTTCTATCTTCGATATATACCCGACATTTTTGATACCTCACTTTTACACTACCTTTTACCTATATATTCTTACACTCGTGGAGTTCCCATCTCTGCATTTCTGATGGGGACGATGTTGCATAATTACTTTCGGATGGAAACTGGGGCTGGTTGGTTTGGGACGGAGGACATACACAAGATATAAAAGCATGCAGCGTTATTACCCTTCATGCCACTCTAGATAGCTTATTATACACTTATATGGTTGTCCAACTGTTCAATTGTAATTCTACACATTCAAAACCCTCGATAGAATTACATACAGGTGACAAGTACAGATGTTTGATTAATGTATCGAACTACTATAAAGCCAACTCACTTGCAGTGAAGCATCGTTCCCCCGTAGCCTGCAGCTACGTCTTGCTCCTGGTATCAAGTATGTCTATCCCACCCATAATCAACTGTAGGTGCCATGTTCGTCGTTATAGGCTCCGCATAGGAAAAGGCTTCAAACACTTCAGGTGTGATCTCGTATGCGCCAGGGTTATCCAGTGTTAGCATGGCGTTCGGCATACCGCCTATAAAATGTGTAGCAGTCACTTGTGGCATGTTGGTCTGCGACAGCTCGAAGTCGGCAACGGGCGTTTGGTAATTATAGCCTGGTAACATTGATGGTGCGGAGGTCACGCCAGCAGTGTGCATGGAGGTGATAGGATGGTCGGCTTGGGGTGGTTGCTGCTGTACAGGGGAGACGCGTTGAGAAGTACTGGAGATGCTCGAGGGAGGTGGTGTCTGATGTTGGGAGGGAGAATGGCTATGATGGGTTCGAGGTCGCTGATGGAGTTGTGGTTGAGTCTGGGTTTCAGTTTGCTGTTGAGGCTGTTGGGTTTGGGCCGTTGGTAGGACAATATGGATGTCGATTTGAAGCTTTTGTAGCTCCTGGTAGATGAGACTTAGGGCTGTGCTGATCACTGTTGTACTCGTTAGCTGCAGAACTCACATTCAGTTATAGGCAACATACCAGGACTTGTCCCCTTTACTCGCTCCAAAGCATAGATACAGTACTTCAACTTGTCGAGGGTCCCCGGAGCAGCATACTTCAGAGCCTGAATTTCGAGCAAGAAAATGGATGCTGCAGTGTATACACTGTAGGAGAGAGACAAGACGACGTGACTGTCACCAAAAGTACGACGGTACAGATCGAACAGGGTCAGAATCGTAGTTGCGGACGTCATACATTGAATCAGATGACTCTTGTCGTTAGATTCACGGTTCGATTTGGAGCAAAGGACGGGACGGTGGAGGAGGATGTTGATGGTATGGTAAAGACAGCTGCAACAGCGTTAGAATGGTCGGGGATGGCGACAAAACAGGCAGGAAAAGGGTACGTACTTCAGGGTCACAATATGACTTGGCGGGGAATATGGAGGAAGGTCCATGGGCAGTAGCTTCAAATAATCGGGAAGCTCCTCCCACCAGTCAGCCAGATTAGCGGCTTGTTCCTGGATGCAGTTATAATATTCTACTTCCGAAACCTGTCGGAGAGGATCATAGATATGGATTAATATTTGGTTAAGGATTTCTGCCAGGCCGCACATCTTCATGAAGCACGAAGTAGAGTGAGCCTGGGTGGGCGGATAGTGAGTGCCATCGGGAAATTCGACTCCATGAGGCGTCCAAAGCTCGACCTCGGCTGTGTCATCCAAAATCATCCGAGGAGGACTGACCCGGGAGTGTTGCATGGTTGGGGCACGGCCGAAGTACAGTGAGATCAGTTTATCCCAAAAATAACAGCTCCAAAAGAGACGGTTTCTGAGCTCGATATCCTCATCGGTCAGGTGAGCGCTATCAGAGTACTTGCGACTGTCGATGTTTATGCCAAGGTCGTCCAGAATCCTAAAAGCCATTCCACTGTATAACCACGCCTGACTTCGGTTGCCTCGCCCGAACTCCTGCGCGCTTAGGAGAAGTAAGGTCTGAATTGTTGGAATGCCGACATAGCCGGCTTTGAGCGAGTCATGGAGACCTGATACAGCGCGATGAAAGAACTGCGCTCCTCCTTCGAATGAGTCCAAGATTGGCCCGATTTTTGGCTCCAGTTTGCACCATCGTACTGAGTGGGAAAGGAGGGCGTTCAACAGGGCGTCGGTGTAATAGGGACCGTTGACTTTCATATCACCTACAAGATGTTAGAACATCGCCAGCATCTCTAACAAAAGGGCAACTAACGAGTGAATGTAGGTCGATAAACGAAGCCAAAGAGCGGTTGTATCCAACACCAATGTGAATCGAGGAGATACTGAAATGGTTCCTGTCACCGCGATGAGGTTAACATTGATCCTTATGCTCCATGTCTGATAGCTTGGCCGGACTAGACTTACGGGCATGGTGGCCATTTGCTCATAAGCCCGTTCTCGCCATGCATTGTTGATAAGCCGTTCTTTCCGCCCCTCCAGTTGCATGGCCAAACGGGACGTCGAGGAAGTTTCGTTCAAGACGCCACTTGGTAGTTGGAATAAGCTGGTCGGGCCGTGGAACGATATTCGACCATCGTGTTCGACCTTGAGACCCTCGAAGTCTCTGGCGAGCTCTTCTTCATTTTCGTCTTCTTCTTTGATGCGGGTTCGGATACCCGGGCTGGCGCTAGACTCGCCGGGCGATGCAGGGGAGGCGCCCTTCCGCGACACGGGTTCCGGGGGTTGTTGGCTTCGGAGCTTGGAAAGAGCATCTTCCAGCTGGGCGACGCGAGCTTCCAGCTGCTTCGTATAAGATAAGGTTGGAGCTCTAGCAAATAAAGAGTCAATAGTGATCGACAATTTTGCCGATAGGGCAATACAAAGCGGGTCGGGCTGGTGGGGGTGGGAAGCAAAAGTCCCAAGAAGCGAGGGTGAACAAAAGGAAAAATAAGCCACACTCACAGACTATAGACGCACACCTCGCCGCGTGTCGCACATCGCGAACATGACGGACTGGCTCCGTTGCATTTCACCTAGCCGGCCCAGTCAGCACTGCCAGCGAAGCGAAGATGATGATTCGACATATTAATCTCGGAAGTCATCCGAGTCAGGAACGTAAGGGGGACGAAGGAACCCACCTTTCGCTTGCGACAAGCCTCGCAGGAAAAGGCGCTTTTCCGGGGAAGGTTGGACTTTGTAGGCACGTCGGCCATGCCCGATTGCTTGGATTCTACGACCATGGAATTGGACAATCCAGGATGGCCGTGGGGGACGGGACAGACGTCGCAGCAGCCTCCATGGAAGAGAAGGGAGAAAAAATTCACGATCACGCGAAAGGGAAAGGAAGAGGGGGAGAGAGGGGGCGAGAGGAGAAAGGGAAAGGGACGAGAGGGAGGGCGAGAGGAGAAAGGGAAAGGGACGAGAGGGAGGGCGAGTGGGGGTCAAAGGGAACCAGAAAAGTGAGACGACGATGGCCACCACAAGCTTAGGGGCGCACCTTAATTCCAGCCAAAAGTCTTGAACCTTTCCCTGGGTCGTGGGGGGGGGGCAGAAGAGCGGCGCGATGATGATCAGATCAGAGGTGGGCCGTTGAGAAAAGCTTAGAACTCGTGTAAAGCCTTATCGATGGATTCTTTTGGCGACAAAACATTCAGAGTGTATGTTGATAGGAGATCACTCCAGTCATCTCGACTGTAATTATTCGCGTCCTCACGGGTCATTGTAGCAGTCGACGGGCACTCCGATGGGCCGATCTTGTAGCGGGAGAGGCGGCGCCGGAGCAATTGGGAAAGATTGGAACGCAAACCGGCATGACGATATCTCGGGCGAGTGCGACTGCATCACAGCCAATCAGGAGGCCGCACACCGGGGGCTCTAACCCTTTGCGGCCATCGAATTCAGGCAGCGGTAGATGGATCAGGCATGCAATTTAAGCTTAATCGAACAGTCACGTGGCACCCATACTCAAGTATACAGAGACCGCGTGAGAGCCGATCCTCTCCCGGCCAACACCATCAGACACCTTGCGTGCATACTGAATGGTTTCTATTATACATGGTTTATATCTACACGTCATTGTTATAGTATTATACAAATTGCTTCTCCAGCTGCACCAACAGTTCGTGAACGTCATCTACGGAAAGGGGAATGGCCCGAGGGTTCTTCAACGCCTTCTCGCCCAATCGTTGGGTCAGGATGTCTTGCAGCTTCTGCACCCCACGCTCAGGCTTGCTCTGCAGCTGACCTGTCACGTCCACCGTGATGCGAGAGGCAGAAACATCCTTGGGACCCAGAATGAAGATGAGGTTGTATTTCATCTGCTTGGCTCGTTGAATTTTCTTGTTCAGCGATTGGCTACTGCTGTCCACATCGATCAAGAATGTGGAGTCAACAGAGGAGATCGGCTGGGGTGCATCGGTCCCCATCTGGCCTGGCTGAAGGGCGCGGAATCCAGAGATCTTGGCAGCCGCTTCGTGAGCCTGTTGTACGACGGCCTCATCTTGGTTCACGGTTAGGACGATACCCTGGCGTGGAGAAAGCCAGAATGGCCAGCGACCAGCGTATTCCTCAATGAGCAGCGCCAAAAATCGCTCCAGAGAGCCGAAGTTTGCCCGATGGATCATGACCGGGGTCGCCTTGCCTGGAGTCTCCGGGTTGTAATCCTCCTCACCTTCAGCGACCTGGTACTCCAGCCCAAATCGCTGAGGGAGATTCATATCGAGCTGAATGGTGGAAAGTTGGTGGTATTTGCCCGCTTTGTCTTGGAGCTGAATGTCGATTTTGGGGCCGTAGAATGCTCCGTCACCTTCATTCATGGCCCATTCCCTGCCCGTATTGTCGAGTGCCTCGCGCAATTGGGCTTCGGCACTATTCCACAACTCCAAACTACCGATAAAGTCCTTCTCTGGCCTTGTGGAAAGGACTAAGCGATACGGCCCCAGTCCGAATGTTGTCATGACCAAGTCCACGAATCCAAGCGCCGATGCGATTTCACTCTTGATCTGCTGTGGCCGACAGAAGATGTGCCCATCATCTTGATGGAAACGGCGCACACGAGTAAGCCCGCTTAACGAGCCCGAAACCTCATTCCGATGAAGCGGGCTGAAATCGGCGTAGCGGATGGGCAGTTCCCGGTAAGAATGCGTCTGCGATTTGAATAGCAGGCAGTGGCCGGGGCAGTTCATCGGCTTCAGGCCGTAGGATTCATCCTCTCCCGCTTCTCCGTCCGTATCACCGGTGGCCCCCCTACCGCGCACCTCGTACATGTCATCTTTGTAGTTCTGCCAATGGCCGGAGACTTCCCAGAGGGACCGTTTGTAGATCGTCGGGGTCAGGACTTCGCGGAAACCGTATTGGAGGTACTGCGTGCGGAGAAAGGTGATGAGTTTGTTGATGATATGGGTGCCATTGGGGAGGAATAGAGGCGATCCGGGACTGTAGACCGAGGTTGTGAAAAGGTCCTGGGATGTTCCCAGGGCGCGATAATCGGCTGGGGTGGAAGACTGAGTCTGAGGCTGGCCGGGCTGCGGGTCAGAGCACGAACAGAGTCGGGACGACGTCGATGAGAGCCATTGCGCCCTCACTGATGGCCAAGGGGTCAGCCGTCCTCTGACCGGAGGTTTTGGAGAAAGCAAAGGCTGTCGTAACAAGGGCGACAGTCGACGCATGGTGGAATTTAGCGGACGGAGGCAGCGACCAAACGGTGAAACTGGAGGATTTTCCTCGGTCGCCCGTGACTGCCAACGCGAGTTCCTGATTGGGAATCGCGTTCCCGTGATTGTCCCCCACCGACTTCATCGGGTGCGCTGGACGTTTTGAAAGACCGATCTAGATATACTATCGTCAACTAGTCCAGCTATCTGCCTCTTTTACTTTGGGATCGGCGTCCTGGTTCACCGCCGCTCACTCACCGTTATCGCTATACTAATTCATCCATTATTCTGTCTTTTCTATGTAAGTACTCTTGCTTCACGTGAGCCACACTAGTAACCCAGTCCTGTCGCATTCTCTTTCTATTACGATAGCACGGTGCTACAGTAGAAGAAATCATTGACTGACCTTGCTAGTATCGCTATATATTTGATGTTTCTCACATGCGCATGAGCTATTAGTCACAGTATATGGAATCTCATATCATTAACCCTTGCTTCCAACGGCTCGCGTGCGCGTCGTCAGTTCACCAACACCGTTTAGTGACTCAAAGGCGACTAAAGCTCCCATAAAGCTACTATTAGCCGGTCTGTATTTTGTGACCACAGATCTTGATGTCTATCAAAAGCCCTCGCACCCGGGACAGCTCATTCCTGGGCGAGTCTTGGGTTGTAGCTTCTCCTCATGAGGAGAATGAGCAACAAGATGAATGTCAGCCATCTGAGCCTTCAAGCCCGACGCCTCGGCCAGCTAGGAGGAACCGCAACTATGGAACTGAGTCCATGTCTACCTCCACTTCATCCGCCTCGGGACCAGAGCTGATCATGCCTTCAATATACGAAGCACCTCTATCAGAAGGATCTTGGGTTGCGCCCACTGCTCGAACCAAGCGCTCTCTCAGACGGAGGCCTCAAAAATCGCCGAAGGACTCGGCGCAAGAAGGGCAACAGCAGTCTCCTTCGCCCAAACAAGATGTCACGGCGGCAACGCCAACGCAAAGGCCTCGCCAACCAAAGGCAACCCAGCCTCGCGCATGGAAGATCGCGGAGAAATTCCTACGCACAATACTCAATTGCGCTCTTATTGCCGCCATTGCTCACATGCTCGTCCTTCCCGAGATAGTCCAGCAATACCAGACGCTTTGTTCCTCGGACAAAATAGCAACTCTATACCCAGCTAGTTGCATCCCACCATATCCCCAGCCACAACTCCCCCGCCACCAACCAGCCCCCCGGGACCCCGTCACTAACTCACAATCGCGGCTCGAGACCCTGCTCAATTCGACCCTTAACGAAACAGACCCTCTCGCCAACACACTAAAACAAAGCGAATCCAAGCTGCGCGACATCCACACCGACCTCAAGCACGCCTACCCAGGCAGTAAACACGAACTAGACCTCGAATTCACAGGATGCCTTCAAGCCACCCGCATCGCAGCGGGGAAATTCGACTCGCTCCGAGCCGACATCCGCTCAGCGGTAGATAGTCTGATCGCCAGCGGCGACAACATCCAGACCCTGAGTCAGGACGCGCGTCACGCCACCCAAATGGCCCGACGAGAACAATACCTCGACCAGCTCACCACGCGCATGCAGTCCAAAGTCGATTCCCTCTCCAACGACCTCGCCACGCTTGACGACCACCTCGAATCTATCGGAAGCATTGTAGCCCGCGAATCAAAACAATCCAAGCCAAGCTCTTCTACTCCTGCGCCCGGGCCTAATAATCCAGGGCCCGAGCCAGGACCGAAATCAGACCAGCCACCTCGTCTGCGCGCCTTCGTTGACTCCCTCTTGGGCGTCAACTTACCTGCCATCCTTCGTCCAATCACCACGGAGTCGGAAAGCGCCATCTCCAGCCCCGATCCCTCACTAGCTGACATATTCCGAGAAGCGTCCACCAATCATCGCCCGGTCATCAAGGTCGTCCGAAACCTATCGAATCAGCTCCAGATGCTGCAACAAAGAAGAAACTCTGCTATCTGAGCGCAAACTATTGAAAAGCTAAATAACGTGAATATGAGACATGCATATGATGGATATTACTTTTGATTATGATTCGGACTGGCCAAGAACGAGAAGTTGGGGTAAACATGCAAGTCGGCGTTTAGTTTAATTCTTGGGTGCAGTGCGCGGCGCTATTTTCCTTTGTTTTTCTTTTTCTTTTTTTGATCACCTGGCTTTGTTACAGTCACACGTGGATCTCACGTTACACATAGCTTACACCTACCTGTCAGGAACAGTTTTCTAGTCTAGGTACTGCTTACCCCGGGGGCGGGGGCCAAGAAACCACAGCGTAGCACGGCGCGTACGTAGTATTATAATAGTTACATGGAATTGGGGTTACACTGGATTTAAATAGATATCATTAAGTTTCTGAGCTGCTAAAATTAAGTCTTTGATCTTGTCCAGCAAAGGAGCGTCCGTCCGGGAAAAGACAAAATTAAAACCAAAGTTAAAAAAAAGACCCATTTCGTAAAATATTGGCAGGGAGGAAAAAAAAAGCGAGCAAGATGATTCATTCCGAGATAACAACCGACAGCATTGAACAATAGTAGCAAGAAAGCAAATCAACTTTCCGTCTGATAGCCAGTGTGGGTAGGTGGGAAGATAAAACCAAATAGACAATTCCTCCTTCTTTCAGATAATATGTACTTCCAACGGTTCCAAATAAGCTATGCAGTGAAAGCAGGGGAAAGGGTGGGTGGGTGTAAGTGTCCAAACGACCCAGGAAAAGAAGTGAAAAGAGGTTATTGCATCAGGGATTGGGCGTCGATGATGAAAGGGGTACAATTTACAAGAGGGCAGCGAGGAGACCAGCGAAGAGAAGGCTGGTGGAGGCGCCGACCTGGGTGGCAGCACCGGTGTAGAGGGGAGAGGCGCTGGCGCTGGCGCTGGCGCTGGAGGAAGCAGAGGCGGAGCCCGAGGCAGAGGCGGAGGAACCGCTGCTGGAGGAGCCAGAGCCAATCAGGGCAGAGGAGGAGCCGGCGGCGGCGGCGCTGGAGGCGCTGGTGCTGGACTCGGAGCTGGTGCTGGAGCCGGAGCCGGAGCCAGAGGTAGAGCTGGTGGAAGAGGTGGAGGTGGAGCTAGAGCTGGTGGTGGAGCCAGTGGTAGAGCTGGAGGTGCCGTTGTTGACGACAATGCTGGTGTAGTCGCCAGATTTGTCAGAGTAGGTGTAGGAGGAGCCGGGGTTGTAGTTGGTGATGGAGACCGACTGGACAGTCATGGTGAAGGGACCGTCGGAGTAGTCAGTCTCACCACCGGCCCATTCGATGGTGCCCTCGGGCTCGGAGGAGTCACCAGCAGCCCAGATACCAAGCTTCAGGCGCATGGGAGTCTGGGGGTAGCGAGTACCGCTCTGAGCATCGCTGTAGGCAAGGGTGCGCACGACAGTGCCATCGATGCTCCAGGTAGTGGCGGATTCAGTCCACTCAACGGTGTAAGTGTGGAAGGTCTCCTGGGGGGTCGACACAGTTGCCCAAGTAGCACGGTCGTAGGAGGAGGTGTCACCCTTGCCGAAGTAGTTGGTCTCAATCTGAGTGGTGTCACCACCAAGAGCTTCCTGAATATCCCAATTTGGTTAGCCTACTACCCCATGCATATTGGGTGATAAGGGTGCAGCTGAGCGTGCATGATAGGGTTGGCAGGGGCAACAGGGGCAGTAAAATGATGAATGATGAGACTGAGGGATTTGAGAGCTTACCCAGTCGATCTCGTCGAGATCGTCCGACTCAAGCACGATACTGCTGCAGATACCGGTACCGCTGGCAGCCTTCATGACAACCTCAGCCTTGCCGAAGAAGAAGTAGAAGTCGGTCTCAATGGTAGGAGCTTCACCCTTCTCGCTGATGATGAAGTTGGCACCCTCATCGGTAAAGGTGACATTGTTGGCGGTAGCAATCCATCCACCGAATGAGCCAGAGGTGAAATCAGTGGTGAAGGTGGTGGAGCTCAGGGCCGTATCAGCAGGGCAGGTCTCTGATTGCTCGGTTAGCTCTGAACAAAAATGAGTGTGAACAAGAGCAACGTACTGTTAAGAGGGTCACAGTCCGTATAGGTCTGCGCGGTGGCCAAGGGCAGCAGCGCAGCCAGCGCGGCGGCGGTTTTGGAGAAGTACATGATGTTGTAGCTGTGGGGGTGGTAAATGCCAGAAGCGACAGACTAGAAGGTTCTTCTATGCTAACAACGAGGGTTCGAGCAAGAGACCAAACGAAGGAACAAACTCCTGCTTGTGTGTGTCCGGGGTATGAAATCGAAGAGGCGGGTAGAGTCGGGGGATGCTCAATGTATTAAATAGTAGTGAAGTAACTAGTAAGTGAGTCTAGCAGAGAAAGCGAACGACAGACCCAGGAACCCGGGCAACCAAAAAGGGAAGAGGAGGGGAATATTAGACTTCCGTTACGATGGGCCGGGAAGTGGGCAGAGTACTGGTACTAATAAGGTCACAGTGAATGATGCTAGCCAAGTGGGTGCCGCCGTGGAGACAAATTGTATGATATTAATACTTTCCCCTGAGGGAGACTTCATCCGCTACGGAGTAGTCACGTCGAGCCAACTAGACCCAAGGATGATAACTGGGGGCAAAAAGGTTGTATCCCCTGGTTTGGCCTTGCGAGGATTCTGGGCAGGCACTGGACAAGGTCTGCGTCACGGCTGAGGTGGTCAGACACGGTGACTGAAGGAGGAGCAAAGGACGACATCGATCCAGTGGAGTCTCGACTGGAGACGGCCCCAGTGAGAAAGCCAGTGTTGGCGGCTGTGATAGGCGCATGCGCATCCGCAGAGGCTGGCATTATCCACTTTTCGACTCGGTCGGGAGGATCGTTCGTTGCGCTGACCGGCCGGGGAAAGCAACGAGGGCGTGTGCACTGTGTGTCCTGCGTAGTGCGTACACACTGTAGACTATACGAAGGCGGAGCGAGAGAGGAACAAAAGCTTGTGCCTGCCGCGTGTCTTACACACGCTCTGATTTGCTGTTTTCTTGTTTTTCTCCCTCGGTCCCCTGCGCCGCTTTCATCCTCCCTTTCCAGATGAATTTTTTTTTCTCATCCCCCTTGTTCTCACCTGTCTTTTCCTCCTTGAAACCGAGGGTCATCAACGGTTTAGCCAAGGGTTGGAAGGAGTCCAAGATGTCATTCGCTTAGGGTCCGACGAAGGAGTGGATAATTACTACAAGGTGGTAACGACAGGGTCACCGTGGAGCAAGTTGGTGTCGGTCCTTTTTAGGCAACGATGCAATAACTCCGAGAGCCAAGGGGGCCAAGTATTTAACCACGATTTGCCACGGTCGCATAATTGTGCACATATAATTTCCGCGCAGCTGTGATCCAACAGTTGGGTATCCCGCTTGCTGATCCTGTCAGAGAAGTGTCGCAGCATTGACGCTGCGATGCAATTGAGGCCAATCGATGCGAGCCATGGATCAGGTACATTGGACCTGTGGTTCAACCATTAGAACAGACTGAAAATGTAAACACAGTTGTCCAATCTCATGGTCATAATACCACTAACATCCATTGGCCGTAAGTAGTGCGAAATAAAAACTAGAAAATTTAAAATAAGGACCCTAACTAATTCAGGGTGCAATAAGCACAACTTTTGCCCTCGGAGGGACCGTTCCAAAACTTTCTACCGGCGTTGGACAACACTCCGGAGAAAAGATTATAAGTCTGGCAAATGAATAAATAGAAACTTCGTCTAAGTGCCAGCTCGGTTGGCCAAATGTTTTGGAGGTGAGGAAGAAAAGAATGTCTCAGCCGGATAATATTATAACAAAGAGCTTGAAGGCGACTCGAGAAGGACCATATTTCTGGCCCTGAGAAGGAATTAAGAGGGTCAGGAACTTACTTACCCACTTCCTCAGCCCATCAGCGATAAGAAGACGCATTCGGATAGAGGGTCCGAACTACCGAGCGCTTCTGGCTCAATTTCCTGGAGATTAGACCAGGGAATGAGCTAATAACGTGCAGGAGTCAGAAGTACAGGTGGACAGGGTAATCAAAATCAGAGGGTGTCTGTCAGGCGCATCAGCCTCAATCTGAGACAGACAGGGGAGGTCGTTTAATTCATTTATTTAACCCGTCCCCTGAAGGAGGGAGGACGACAGGAGCCGTCATGAACCCCCTCATCCTTCACGGATGAAGCTAAAGGATGCAGTGGATGCAGCTTGTTGGATACTTGGATTGTCCAACCTTTCCGAGTTCCGCAAACCCTTCGGTCACCTGCCGTAATCTATCCAGTCTCTCCGTGGGGCTGAATTTCTGCAGTTACCATACCATACGGGCTTATCTCACCACATGTAATCATTGAATCACGTGTCTCATTGTCTCCCGCCTTGATGCCTGTAGATGCCTAGTTTCTGCCCACCGCGAAAGGTTGGGGAAGGCGTGCCTCAGGATGCGCATCTTGTTGGGCGAATCCCAATCCAGCGCCACGTTGATCACCCGACCCTTGTTTCCCCTCTCTTCTTTGCACAAACCCCTTATCTTCCTCCCCTCCCACCTTCTTGTCAAGGACAACTAACCCCCCCCCCCCCGGTCCTGCAAGGCTCAAGCCTGTCTTTCCTCCATCAGAATATGGTTCAGAAACCTAGCAAATCTATCCATCGCGCTAATCGGACTCGTTCTATCGCCGGCGCTGCATCCTCCTCTTCCCCGCTAGATCCAGACATGGACCGGAAAGTCTACATTCCGCTCTGCTTCTGTCTGATCTCCTTTGCGGTGATGGTCTATGTCAACTGATCGGAGACTATGGGATTTCATCTACCTCGGTCTCCAACGAACGTACTCTCATCTCAGATCACGGCATAATACCTATCTACTCAGGTCGTAAAGCCATCGAGTCCACGCTCTTTTGACTCCCTACGATATCAACGATAACCCACACCGCATGCCCCACCCGAACAACGCCTCGGCATCCCAACGCCCCATCCAGACCGATAATTTTCACTCACTTGAAAGCCAGTCTGTGTACTGCTTTCGCAAAGCTCAGAACCACCATTCATCACCATTGTCATCAGCCACGCAAAATGAGTAGAAAGATCGCACCGTATGGGACCGCAACGGGAAAGGGCCGGTCGATCGACGACGCAAGCGGGAGGGCACTACGTATCCCACTTACGGGACCTCGGCCGCGCCACAGCGATCAATAACAGGTGCCAGCCAAACCATCTCGCAAACCCGCGCCATATGCAGCTGCACCTGTCTCGCAATTTTCCGAACAAAGCACGAGAGAATCGACATCGCGCAACATGTTGAGTTAAGACATTGTATTCGACACTAAAGAGAAATCCATCTGCTTAGTGACGTACGTACCCACGTACGCTGGACCGCCACTATTGCTTGTTTTGTGTTTTGCTTCTCTCGGTGCTAGGCCAGTTGCCCCGCATAAAGGGTGACAACAAACAGGCCAGCAACCAGCCTCTCTTTTTCTTTCCTATGTGGAATTGCTATCATTTTGCATTTTGTTATTTACTATACCCAACAAGGTGAAGAAATTCAACCTACTGCGCCATAGCAATCTGCTACTATTACCCTCAAAGCCTAAAAATAACCTTATAACACTACTACTATGCTTAGTCCTTTCTAACTAGCTCATATGACCAATATCGTAATTCAAACCTTCGTATTCTATCTCCATAGTCCATATACACCACTACCCAAATAATTAGTGCATACTTTGCCTATGGCCCAACCCCGCCCGAAACAAAATTTCAATAACCCACCCAACTAACCATGCATTAGAAGATTCCAGTCTAGACTAGTAAAAGCAACATCTGCAGGAATAATACCGCCATCACAAACCGGACCGTTAGCACGCAGTGCCCTAATTCCCCACAGCGTGGATAAGACAACCGCCCAAAAATAGCCGGCATAACAACAAGCCCGGTAAAAAAAAGAGAACATGACAGTGATGAATGGATGAAAAAGAAGCGAATTGGACCACCCGGAAGCTTAAATTCAAGACATTATTTCGGGGCAGTGCTTCTTTGTCTTAGCTAGTAGTCTACTCGGAGATTGAAGGTCTATACATAGATTCATTAGTGTCGGAGGAGGTTTGAGTTTTTAGTACACAGTACTAGATAGATAGATAGATATCGTTGTCGCAAGTGAAACGCAAGACAAACCACATAGATAGTAGTATCATTAGCAAGCACACCTCCTAACTATCTCTCACTCTGTAACAACAAATAAATCATACTACTGCACAGTAGGTAGCAACCAGCAATGTACTACTATGTGGATATGCCTAATGTTAATTAATGTATGACCTGGCGGAGCGGTTGGTGTCATAGATTCCTCTAGCCCTGGAATGGTTCCATTCTGAGAAACTTCTCCCGGGGTTCTAGTGCAACGGTTTAGTTTATTGGTTATCTGTCTAATTTGACAAGAACGAATACTGTTATCGATTGCTACTTATGTCTGCTGCTTTGTAGGGCAGCAAAAAAGGAGATCAGATCAGGTCGTGCCCGGGATCGAACCGGGATTGCTGGAATCAGAATCCAGAGTGATAACCATTACACTACACAACCTTGGTTGTTGAATCCGCGATTATTTTGACATTATAGGCCAAATTGCATTTGGAAATGATCAGGTTCTGTTGGAGGGTCAATTGTTTGATGAGAAGGATTGGTGCTGTGCCAGTTTGGGGTTGTGATGTTAGGCTATTTGGGTGTTATTTTGTGGTTGGTAAATTTTTTGATATCTTCACAGATACAGATTCCTTGATGCTTGTCAGTATCGGTACTGTCCCATTTTTCATTCTATATCTTTGCATTCGGTATACTTACTCTTGTGCTCGGTCTGACATTCCCCAATGCAAGGTACCTCTATGTATGCCATGCCATCAATCCCTCCACTTTTATTTCCAGCACCCATCCAATCGTGTTCTCCCGGGCCCTGGCATATCCCTGGCCAGTAAGGGGTACAATGGCTATAGCCCTTGTGTCTGTCATTCATCCCTTCCTGGCTTTCGGATCCTTGGCACTCCCAGGTGCATGCAGTCAACCGTCAGATATACTTTTGGTCCAGCTATATCACTAACAAGCACCCTGCACGCCATTGACATCGTATATATCCGGTAGATAGTAGTGCAGGGGATGGCTTATCCTTCTTCGTCATTGAAGCACTCTGCACATAATACATCACTCATCAATGATCGAATTGCTATCGACTTAGCAAGTATCATGTACCCGCACCCTGCCAACACACCCACCAAAAAAAATCACACTACGGTCTCCTACAAGCTTGCTTTCCTTCCTCTACTATGATCCAGGACAGAGAAGCAAAAAGGTCGTACCCGGGATCGAACCGGGATTGTCGGAATCAAAATCCGAAGGGATAACCATTACCCCATACGACCAGGGAGTTTCGAAATTTCGCAAATTTAGAAAACTTGAGATTATGAAGCTGGTTGCGTAGAGTTGGGAGTATATTACGGGTGGTTGTTATGTTTGGGACTGTCCTGTATGGGTGTATAGATGAAGCATTGTGTAGTGGGTATGTTGAGTATCCTGGCCTGCGTTTCTGGGTGATAGTGGAAGGATATTGATAGTTGTAGCATCATCGGTGGTGTAGTATACTAGTCACCCACGGGATTGAAATATATAAGTAGCGTACTGAATGACATCACTCGAGGTGCCCGCCTGCCAGGACTTATCTAGAGCTCGACGAGATTACCCAGCACCTCCGTATCATCTAGACGTCTGCAGTGGTCACTGCCCACTACAGTAGTCCCCAAACAAGAGGACATCAACCGCAAGTAAATCAACCCACCGGCATCATTGCCATCAACTACACCCCATAAGGTGACCTGAACGAAACACCAACCCTTTGTCCACCTATTCCACACGATACCGAAAGCATCCGGCCCTGTATCAGAACATATGCACATACTTTCCACCAACTCGGCCCAGAGTACATATCAGTAAAGGTAGCCGAGCAATGGAACCATATCCTTCCACCGTCTCCGAACAAAGTGTGCATGCAAGTCCATGCAGGGCAAACCCGTTGCTTTGTGTGTGCTTAGTTTCGACGAGTCTAGACCAGAAGCCTCGACCAGATCCCATAATCTGGTCAACTGTGGAACTGCCTCATATGTGGGATACGGCCCTGGCCAGACACATGGCCATCCATAGCTCGTGGAAGGGCTGTTGACGTATCTTCGGTAGGTGAGCCGTGGAACTAGCGGGTATGAGAAAAGCCGTTGGCTGAGGGGTCTGGACTTCCGAGGACTGGTGTTCCAGGGTACTGGGGTACCAATGTTAGTAGTATTTTGTGGTTGGTTGTTGGGTTGAATCAATGGTTGAATTTGGTTGTAGTCTGCTGGAATTTGGGTTGGGCGTGCGGAGGTTCGTAGGATAGTTAATGGGCATGCGAAGGGGGGCAGTTAGTGATTGTGCACTGGTAATAGAGACACTTATGCATTGCAATAATAATTTCATGCTATTATGGAGAACTTGCAGGCAGAGGACACAGGAGGTGGAAAAAAATAGAAAGAAACATAAAGAGGTCGTGCCCGGGATCGAACCGGGATTGCTGGAATCAGAATCCAGAGTGATAACCATTACACTACACAACCGTATTTGTTGGAATGGTGTTTTAAATTTTGCCTCATAATCCTACAAAACAGGGCACATGAGGTTTACGATCACAAGGTATCATGATAAATATAGTATATATTTATATATCACAAGAGTCCAGACTGAAATCTATGGGGAATCATCTGTCCAAGAGTCACTGTGATCTTTCTCAAATCCGCCAGCTGGGCAATCCTTCGGTAAAACGCAGTCACCAGTCTGTACAAGTATTAGCTGAGCTATTTCTATGCCAATAACACTTTTCGATTATACTTACTTTGGTGAGAACATATCCCCTGATACATCGACACCCTAGGTTGCACTCTTCCGTTTCAAATATGTGCAAGCATAGATTTAAATCATCACATGTTGGGGTGCACCATGGTACGCATCCGTTATGTTGTATTAGCGACAGGCTGAGCCAGCGAAGTGTGTCAGCATATACTATAGAGACCCTCGTGCTAATTCCATATACTGCACGGAGACAAGTTCATACACAAGATGGTACAGCAAGGACCTGAGTCCCCAAAAGACTAAGAGCGAGTAGATAAGAGATGGTCTTCATTTTGCCAGCAGCGAGTCTGTTTTTTTCGCAGTGCTCCAAGAGGAGAGAGAAGAGAGATTGCTTAGACTGTTGTAGAATATCATGGAAATCCTGACGGTATTTATATGTTTATAAGTCCGAGCTGAATGAAGGGCTGCATCAATTTATGTCATATTACTTCTTCTTCTTCTTCTTCTCCCTCTTCAAGGCGCCGATCTCACATCGCTGGTCATCTCCTTGGATATTTCTTATTGCAGCACCAGAGGAACCGTCGAATGAATCACTGAATTTAGTGATGCAGCAATAGATAGGCAGGAAACTTCATATGTGATTGTTGCTTTTCCGAATGTCTGACATTCATATGATGCTATATTCAGAGACTCCATTGGATGGGAACTAAGTCGGGTTACACGATCTTCCTAGTACAGACATTGACTACCAGCGACTATTGCTAACTATCAATAACCTGTACTACCCCCGACCGCGACTCACTGTAATGTTTTTTCTTTGCTTTTGTGAAGATACAGTGTCTGCAGATGATAATCGTAATCAACGGTACCATCCAATTACACCCTCCAAATCATCACTCATATCTATTTACCGCTGAATATATACCCAAC